ATGTACAAGTTACACCTTTTGAATGCAATTACTGAAATAAATTAAGTTTTTCATAATATTCTAATTTACTGGCTTTTACCTGTGTGTGTGTGTGTATATATATATATATATATATATACAAAAACAACATGAAAAGCCCATTCAGATTAGACACCTTTTTCTCTCCAATTTCTCACCAGTAGTGAAGTCAGCTGCGAGTCACATGACTGACTTGCTGATCTCACTGAGCATGCCCAGACGCCCTCAGTGTTGTCAGGCAAAATATAAGAGATCTGCGCTAGATAAACACTCAGACTCTCACGCGCGCACCAGCTGGCGCGCTTGCAGGCGCGCACATCACGCATCTGGAAACAGACAGCAGCGATCGTTATATTTCCGCTGCGGTATATTTTAATGCTTTTTTTTTAATCTGTCATTTTAGTGGAAAAGCCAGCTTCTGACAGAGGAATAGAAGGAGAGAGAGAGAGGAGCAGGTGTGCCCTTTAAGAGGGAAGGAGCAGCTGAAGCAAGGGCAGCATCCCTGTCTACATCCTCTGTGGAGGTAAGTGTTGATGGATGAAAAGGGGTAAAGCCGACTGAGCGCATCTATGTTTGGGTTAAACCTTTTTCTAAAAAGAAAGATGGCAGTGAATGTATGCATGTGTATGTTTGTTTATGTAGGTGCGCACTGTCATAGGGTGGGTGGGCTCATTTTGTCACTATTGGTATGTGAGACGACAGAGGCCAAGGAAATGGCAGGGAGTGTGGGGGTGAGTGGGACTGAGATGTAAATGCGAGGAGCAGGCTTCGGGACATGGGAGCTGAGAATGGAGCCTGGCAGGGTTAGACTGCATGGAAAGAAAGGATCAGATGAGCGCACTCTACCAAAACAAGATTATTTTAGCTCTTTTTTTTTTGGTGATCAGTAGAATGTAAGAAAATTGGAAAAATACTCCCTTTTGTTATTGTTACTGACCTAAATACAACATGACATCACTGCTTTTCCCTTATGTTAGTATCCTGATCTGCAGTGCCAGTCTGTGTTTTTGTTCAGTCTTTCTTCACACACTTTTTGTTCCTATACTGTAGACAGTTTATTCTGCAATCTTATTATGCCTTCCATATAACAAGCAAAAATCTTCATTTTGATGCTCAGGGACAGATTTAGGAAGATGTGGGCTCTTAGATGGACTCAGTTTGGGTACCCTGTCCACAGAAGCATCTTTTATGAATACAAATTAGAGTAAACTGGTGTTTAGGTACATCACCTTCAAGTCCCATAGAAGCATTTATAGCCTCCTTTGCATACCTGTACCTGGCAGTAAAGCATGTTCTACCTGCTTTTATAATAAACACTTGAAGGTATTTTCCATATGCTGTTCATAGTCCAATTTAAATAAATGTGGTTGTATGACTTTAGGGGATACTATCCACCAGCATGGGGCTAATCTCATTTTGGTTTGGTCAGGGGTCATAATGTTTTAAATATTATTTAATTCCAAATCATGGATCAGACCCAAAATTAAAAGGAAGGCTTTGTGATACCAAGTTTTCAGAAAATACAATCAAATTAAATTATGTATAAGAATAGTATTTTAACGACTTATCTTCATATTTCATGATAATGCTTCATGACACAGAGAAAATGTTTGATTCTACAGTTTGTTTTAGGCTACCTAATGGAAGAGGAAATAGAGACAAAATATCAGCATGTAGGTTAATGAATTGACAGTAAGTTGCTAGGATTTTGCCCAGGCTTGAGGGTTTGATCATCGATGGAAATGTGATCCCATCAAATAGTTAGAATAGTTTGGTGTTAACACAGAAATCCTCCCATCCATTATGGGCTTAGAGTTGTTATTGTTTTCTTTTTTCATGCCGTCATAAAATAGCTTTGGAGAAATATCCATCAATTAAAAGTACAAGTACACAAGAAAGCCCTAAATGTCAGGGTTGCCAATTACTGCCCCATTAACATCTCCTGGATGATGCAGTTTCCAGCATTAAAGCTAACAAGTTAACTAGTTGATTAGTTGATTATTCTCCCATTTTAATAGAATATGGCAACTTGAGCTTGAATGTTGTCTCATTAAGGCAATGATAATAAAAGTGTCAAAAATCGCTACATATAGTCAGAGGTCCCTAAAAGCAATTGCTTTTCTGGAGAAAAAATGTAAACATTTTTTAAATACAGTAGTTAAATTATGATTGGTTTTGGGAAGATAGTCATTAAAATTAAGAACATATTTGAGTTATTAAGACAGAACATACCGGTAGGTTAAAACTTTGTTATTTCTAAACAATGCAAAAAAATGTCCATTCCCATACAGTGTTTTTTTTTTTTTTTAGCATTTAACTTGTCTTAAATGTAATATATGCAATTTTTGTCCTTGTATAGGCCTACTAAAAAAACAAGTAAAACTATAAATATTTGATCAATATTATACTATACCAACAAGCTCTAGAAACAATTAGTTATTTGAATGTCAGAGTCGTTTTATTTATCATTCTTGCCGTGATATTAGTGTACATGCTTATAAAAATATAAGCAAACCTATTGTTTTTTGGTAATAATAGACTAGAATCCTGGAAATGATCTAAACAAAGAAGTGGAAACATCCAGGGTACTGAACGTACAGCACATATCTCCCACACACTTTCTCTCAACGGTGATTAATGCTACTCTGAAAGAAGGCAGAGATGGCTGTTGCTAGGATACATGGCAAGGTGAAGTGCAGGCGATTTAAACAAAAAAGAGGAGGAGGGCACCATTGACTGTGCATGGCATCACTTGCAGTAGACTCTGTTGCATGTTTTCTTTCTCAATTGATTATCTGTTTTTGTTGTCTAATTTTTCCAGGGTTGTGTCATTCAGAGAAGTGAGAGAAAGGACAGGCGGTCAGACAAAGCCCTGCTTTTTCTTTTCCATTCCTACTTCTTTCATCAGGAGATAGGCTGCAATGGTCGGCAGCAATCAGTATCCCAAACCTGTCTGAGAGAGCCCTATGAACTGCCGATCCAATGGTAAGTCAGCTGGGATCCTATTGGTGTGTGTAAACAATGAGTCTAATAAAGCCATGTCACACAGTCCTCACTTTAACCAACATTAAGATAACTTAACTAAAAAAAGCTATGATGTTGCAACAGAATATCTGACATTTTTTGACATTAAGATTATTTTAGATTTATTTCAAGATGAAAATATTGCTGTTTTTAGCTGAAACTGTCATTTTTGACTCTTACCTTTTCATGTTTGTCCTTCTCAGCTAGGTATTCTTATGAGGGTAGATGTCAATGGATGTTCTGTTTTTTCCTTTTTTAGATGCTTTATAAAAGCTGTGTTTTGAAGCCCGGAAAGAAGGCTAAATAGGGAGATGAAAGGATGTTACGTAGTGGCTGTATTTTCTTTTCTCTCTAATGGTGTTTTCACAATGCGTGGGCCCACAGGACATCAAAGGCCAGTGTTGGACAGACGAGGAGTCAGATGGGGAGAACGAATCTGAACAGTTCCTATATGGAATCCAGGTAGAGAAGGTTAAAGTATCTTCTTAGGATGTTTTTTTTTTTTTTTTTTTTNTATATATATATATATATATATACAAAAACAACATGAAAAGCCCATTCAGATTAGACACCTTTTTCTCTCCAATTTCTCACCAGTAGTGAAGTCAGCTGCGAGTCACATGACTGACTTGCTGATCTCACTGAGCATGCCCAGACGCCCTCAGTGTTGTCAGGCAAAATATAAGAGATCTGCGCTAGATAAACACTCAGACTCTCACGCGCGCACCAGCTGGCGCGCTTGCAGGCGCGCACATCACGCATCTGGAAACAGACAGCAGCGATCGTTATATTTCCGCTGCGGTATATTTTAATGCTTTTTTTTTAATCTGTCATTTTAGTGGAAAAGCCAGCTTCTGACAGAGGAATAGAAGGAGAGAGAGAGAGGAGCAGGTGTGCCCTTTAAGAGGGAAGGAGCAGCTGAAGCAAGGGCAGCATCCCTGTCTACATCCTCTGTGGAGGTAAGTGTTGATGGATGAAAGGGGGTAAAGCCGACTGAGCGCATCTATGTTTGGGTTAAACCTTTTTCTAAAAAGAAAGATGGCAGTGAATGTATGCATGTGTATGTTTGTTTATGTAGGTGCGCACTGTCATAGGGTGGGTGGGCTCATTTTGTCACTATTGGTATGTGAGACGACAGAGGCCAAGGAAATGGCAGGGAGTGTGGGGGTGAGTGGGACTGAGATGTAAATGCGAGGAGCAGGCTTCGGGACATGGGAGCTGAGAATGGAGCCTGGCAGGGTTAGACTGCATGGAAAGAAAGGATCAGATGAGCGCACTCTACCAAAACAAGATTATTTTAGCTCTTTTTTTTTTGGTGATCAGTAGAATGTAAGAAAATTGGAAAAATACTCCCTTTTGTTATTGTTACTGACCTAAATACAACATGACATCACTGCTTTTCCCTTATGTTAGTATCCTGATCTGCAGTGCCAGTCTGTGTTTTTGTTCAGTCTTTCTTCACACACTTTTTGTTCCTATACTGTAGACAGTTTATTCTGCAATCTTATTATGTCTTCCATATAACAAGCAAAAATCTTCATTTTGATGCTCAGGGACAGATTTAGGAAGATGTGGGCTCTTAGATGGACTCAGTTTGGGTACCCTGTCCACAGAAGCATCTTTTATGAATACAAATTAGAGTAAACTGGTGTTTAGGTACATCACCTTCAAGTCCCATAGAAGCATTTATAGCCTCCTTTGCATACCTGTACCTGGCAGTAAAGCATGTTCTACCTGCTTTTATAATAAACACTTGAAGGTATTTTCCATATGCTGTTCATAGTCCAATTTAAATAAATGTGGTTGTATGACTTTAGGGGATACTATCCACCAGCATGGGGCTAATCTCATTTTGGTTTGGTCAGGGGTCATAATGTTTTAAATATTATTTAATTCCAAATCATGGATCAGACCCAAAATTAAAAGGAAGGCTTTGTGATACCAAGTTTTCAGAAAATACAATCAAATTAAATTATGTATAAGAATAGTATTTTAACGACTTATCTTCATATTTCATGATAATGCTTCATGACACAGAGAAAATGTTTGATTCTACAGTTTGTTTTAGGCTACCTAATGGAAGAGGAAATAGAGACAAAATATCAGCATGTAGGTTAATGAATTGACAGTAAGTTGCTAGGATTTTGCCCAGGCTTGAGGGTTTGATCATCGATGGAAATGTGATCCCATCAAATAGTTAGAATAGTTTGGTGTTAACACAGAAATCCTCCCATCCATTATGGGCTTAGAGTTGTTATTGTTTTCTTTTTTCATGCCGTCATAAAATAGCTTTGGAGAAATATCCATCAATTAAAAGTACAAGTACACAAGAAAGCCCTAAATGTCAGGGTTGCCAATTACTGCCCCATTAACATCTCCTGGATGATGCAGTTTCCAGCATTAAAGCTAACAAGTTAACTAGTTGATTAGTTGATTATTCTCCCATTTTAATAGAATATGGCAACTTGAGCTTGAATGTTGTCTCATTAAGGCAATGATAAAAGTGTCAAAAATCGCTACATATAGTCAGAGGTCCCTAAAAGCAATTGCTTTTCTGGAGAAAAAATGTAAACATTTTTTAAATACAGTAGTTAAATTATGATTGGTTTTGGGAAGATAGTCATTAAAATTAAGAACATATTTGAGTTATTAAGACAGAACATAGGATAAAACTTTGTTATTTCTAAACAATGCATAAAAAATGTCCATTCCCATACAGTGTTTTTTTTTTTTTTTTATGTCCTTGCCACTGGTTTATCTTTAAAGGAGATAGCAGAAAGTGTCACTCCTCCCGGCCAGTAGATGGTGCACTAGCACTTGTCTGCTCTCATTCCTGTATTCAATTGTACTTTTTTCCAGGCAGTTGCCTGGTGTTGCTGAAACTAATAGCTAGCGTTAGAATTTAACTTACCTGTCAAGGAGGACATTGTTTTATGAGCTCCTTTGCTTCTTTAATACGGGATCTACTCCCAAAGACCTTACTCATATTCATCCTTATTTTGCTTCTTTTATAGTCTGCTTAAATTTGAGAAATATAACAGCAAGAAGAAGCAATTTCTCGGCGTGATCACCGAGCTGATACGATCTGGCAACCCCTAAGCCCCGTCTTGCATGTAAAAGTTATAGGACCTTTAAAGCATTTTTTTTGCAGAGGTCATTATAATAAAAAATGAAAATACATCTTTTCTTAGCTTTTTTTTTTTGCTTTGATCTCTAGTTCCCCCAGATGTTCCAAAGATCTTTCAAATTTGTTCTGTGAACTTTTTTTATTCATCCCATACCTTTAAAATATAATGTATTATTTAAGATTTTTTTCAGAATCTCACAATTTATATGAGAATTTCAAAATGTAACAAGCTAGAGTAATTATAGAAAACTATCACCGTATCTAAACAAACCATTAAACAAAACCATATTTTAAGAGTATTCTTGATTATTAAAACATCATGCTCCAATGATGCTTAAATTATATGAATTTAGTATAACGTAACCGTTATATAGTGATATATGCCTATAAGAGCATTATCATAATAGTCATGGGTATTTTTAAAATTGTTTCATCTAAACCTTTATTCAGATAGGAAAATCTGTCAAGCCTTCTAATTCATTACAAGTTTTAAAGTTAACTATAACATTAAATGTTATTTGTTAATATGAGTTACCGGTAATAAAGATCCAGAATAATCATACATCTATTTTAGCTGTATGTTTAAAGTGATTGCCTGCTTAAAATAAGCTTAAAGTTTGTTATATCTGGATTTTGCTGTGAGGTATTTGGTCAGCAGTAGACTATTTATATGACATACAGATCTACCTATCATTCATACTTTACTTCAGTTTCTACTCAATAGCTGTGGAATATTACAAAAATATAAAAATGTTACAAAATACAAACTAAGAATAGGATCCATATGTATTGTAGGGAGGCACTCTTATAATCAGCTGCCCAGCAATCCACAGAGGAAGGATCATTGTGGTGCTACGTTACTTTATGCCCCATATAACCAGATAAATCTTTGGTATCTCACCAGTTGACTTTAAGAAGAAAGTTAACAGTTTAGAATATTTTATAGATTCTTTGTTTACATGATACCCATAACTGGCTCATGCTGCATGCCTTGTGTGCTGAAACAGATTTAAAATGAGTTGAACAGAAGATCAAATAACTATAAATAAACGATAAAGGAAAAATATTGCATTTAATTTACCTTGATTGTTATAAGTCAGGCCTTTGAATGTTTCTGCATCAACCCCAACAGTGTTTTCACTGCCATTTAGACAATAAGGAGGATTTGGTTATTCTTCCTTTTACTAATGAAAAGTACATTTATGTAGTTCAGAATGCTCTTTGATTAACAGATGCAAGTAACAAACTGCGTAAAGACCCTAAATGTATTGAGTTCCTTGCTAAGTTTATTATGTGCAGGTACTATGCTGGTTCATAACTTTTTTAATGCCTGAATTTTTTTTTTAAGAGTAGAAAAATTCTTTACATGATTGCAGAAAAATGCAATAAAAAGCAGTTATTATCCAAAATAAAGGCTTGACTCAAAGACTACAGGAAAAGATTAGAATAAAAATCTGATTTATACTGTAAACAAAACCAGAAATGGTTTAGTTCTGTTTTTCCAGGTCATAGATCTAGCTTTGCTTAGAAATGTCAGTCCATTTAACTACTGTTGCAGTTCTGTTCATTAAAATATCAACTCAATTCAGTCTATTCATATAGCACCAATTTCCAACACATCTCAAGGCACTTTACAGTGACAATTCAACCTGACCATTCAGTCAGATTCAAAGTTTTCTGTCTAAAGAAACCCTACTGATTCCATCGACTCTTTGACAGCAATCCCTCACACAGAGCATGCATGCACTCAGAGGTAGATTTATTTTAGCACTTCTCTTCAAAGGTGAAGCTTCCTTCATTCATTAGAGTCATATGTCAGTCATGCTAACGTTTTTTAATGATTACAGCTTGAGGCTAATGGAAACATCCAATTGTGTATTTATCTAACACATCCATCTTAACATCACTCTGAAACAGGCAAATACTTTTAAATTCTTCTGATGGAAAAAAAAATATAAGGCGTTTAATCTGGATATCAACAAATACTAAATTTCAATTTTAAGTGACCTCCCACTAAAGATCACCTTTCTTCTTCACATCATATTTTGTAGTGCAGACATTACTGAATACATTTCCAGTGTCATCATAGTTACATCATCTTTATCTTATTAAGTTTTTTTTCTCTACTTTGATATGAGATCCTAATCTGAGAGTTTTCTATTTTACTGTTATCTTTCAAGTCTTTTGGTTAAACTTTTAATCCAGTAAAGCTCATTTCAGCAAAGTCTAAGTACATGAAAGCAGTGCAGCTTAGATAAGGATGATACTTTACTGCACACCCTGAGCTATGACACGGAGAGTTTGACTTTATGACACCAGAAACAAGCTTAAAAGACTTTGTGATCATTATCCAAAAAAAGATTTATTAAAAAATCAATAACCTAATATTCCAATGGAAACCAAAATTTCCTGACTACACACTTTAAAAGCAATGCAGGGAGTAGTTTATTTTCTTTTTTATCCTGTTCAGTAACACAAATTAAGAAATGGATTTGAAGTAATGGCAACTGTTGCGTTTAGTTGTATAATTCTCATAATATTCAGTTTTATGCTAAATAAACAATCTGGATCTTGCTGTTTTTGAGTCTGTATTGTCTTGTAAATCTAAGAGTAGCTCTTGAAACTTTTACAAGTTTGTCAGCTTATAATTGTGTACATCAATGGGTTTCAATATGTATTACTGGGATCTATAATGATAGAGCAACTCAAAGTAACATACTTTTGTTATTTGAATGGACAGTGATGTCTGGTTTGATACAAATACACAGATGTATGCTGTGCATTTGCTTTCAGCCACATGAGTTCATATTAATGCAGCCATCTTGTCGTGCAGTCATAGCTGCAAATTTCTCTGCAAAAAAAAACAACTAACGGGCCAATCAACACTTAATATTCAGAACACAAACATGCAATAACAATGAGAACAAGTAAGTACCCAACACCGAGAAAGAAGAGGCCGGATATACAAGGAACTCGATAAAAAGCACCAAAAAAAAAGTAGAATTATACAAACACAAAGTTAAATGCATTAGGATATAGATATTTATTACCTTGACTGGATTTGTGTATTTTTTTGAAGAAAACATGCCCACAGCATATAATTCTACCCATAAGGTGTTTTTCAGTGTTGGTGGATTTTGTTGTTTTGGATTTTGTGTTGGTGGGTGTTTTGAGTTGAGGCAGTTTTAGTCTCATTTGACCAAAAATGTTTGCTGTGTCCCCTATGTGGCTTGCAAATACAGTAGGGGACTGCAAACAGTATAATATTTGGCTTTCTTCTTGTCAGTCTTCTAAATGCTTGATTTATTTACTTTATAATGACTTGCTGCAATCACAACGGATTGTCTTACCTGATATGTGGCTCTCTGCAGTTCCTCCAGATTTCCACATGATCTTTTGTTTCTTTTTCCGATTATACTTCTCCCTTTGCATAGCTTGTCTTATCAGGTAGACATCCATGTTGGGGTAGATTTGCCGCTATGCCCTGCTCCATTTTTTATTTCTTAAGTGATAGATTAATCTGTACTCTGCAAGATATCCAAGATTTTAGATATTGATTCCTGACTTACTTATAGCCGGTCTTTAGGATGCAGCCTGTTCTCTGACCATCCTCAGAGGCCTTTACAAAACAGCTGCATACATGTTAAAATCAAATTACATATATAGAGTTTTTAGTTTGAAAGGCCCTGAATACATATTCACGGAATAGTTTTCTGGCTTTAGTTGCAAGAAATTTTTCAATTTCACAAGCATGTACTTTGAGTTGGTCTATCACAAATATTATATATTTTATTTCAGGTTGTAGTTCGACAAAATATGAAAGAGATGTAGTGGTGGGGATATTTTCTTCAAATGAAAGATATGTGCTTGTATAGTGTTTGATATGTGGTTGTGTGTGTGTGAAAAAAGTCTGGAACTACTGAGCATTCATTCACTGCTATAACTGTGACCAGTGCTGCTTGTTGCAGGGGAGCTGTGCTGCTGATCTGTACCGCCATCCTCAACTAGATGCAGATATTGAGGCTGTGAAAGACATCTACACTGACAGTGCAATCTCAGTCAGGTACAGCACAGATATGCAGAATCATTTGCCTCTTATCTTATAAGCTTAATAAGATTGCAGAAATTCATCTCCCACTATTCAGAAGAAATGGTGGAAGGTTTGACATTAGTTATGACAGATAAACTGTATCTGTTGCTGCATCTCTCTCTGCACAGGGAGTATGGAACTATTGATGACGTGGACATCGATCTTCATATTAACATCAGCTTCTTAGATGTGAGTCAGCAATCTCCTGTAACTGCAAACACCTCCTCTGACTTTTCCCATTACTGTTATATCGTTGACATTTTGTGAAGTAACATATCATTTATAATGCATCTGGTGCTCATAAGATATTTATGCAATGAGAAATGGCCCTAATTAGGCTGCTAACTGTGTGTATTTGTGTGTGTGTCTGATTCAGGAGGAGGTTGCAACAGCCTGGAAAGTTATCAGAACAGAACCCATTATTTTGAGACTGCGTTTTTCTCTTTCTCAGTACCTTGATGGACCAGGTGAGTAAAGATGCCACTGTGAATGTTGGTTTTCTAGCAGATACATTAGGTCATCATGCCCCTTACTGAGTGTGGGAAGTGAGAACAATATGTGTCATACATGTAGGAGATTAAAAAAAAGAGCTTGAATGTCTTTCTGTGGACCTCTTAATGATGTTAGTCATTTTTAATTATTCAGAGCCGTCAGTAGAAGTGTTTCAGCCTTCAAATAAAGAAGGCTTCAGCCTTGGCCTGCAACTTAAAAAGTAAGTGATAAGACTCTATAACCGCCACTGTTCCCAACAACCTCAATAAGTTGTAAAATCATGCTAATTTGCAAAGTTTCTCCCTTAGTTAAATAACATGCTGCTGTCATTTTGCACATCTCTGATGTTGCTGCTATTTTCAAATATCCATTACTGTAGAAATGTCCTGTATATTGGTTATTTATTCTTCCAGGTGCACAGTTTTATATTGTTAAAACACTTTACAGTACAGCATTTTATTTTATCTTCACTAGTATGTTATTCTTATACATTTTTTTCTAGTTTCACATTTGTGTGACCATTTTTTCTGTAATCTTTTTGCCACGATAAACACCAGAATTTCCCCATTGTGTGACAATAAAGGGATTTTCTATTCTATTCTATTCTATTCTATTCTATTCTATTCTATTCTATTCTATTCTAATCTAATCTATTCTACTCTATTTTATAATTTATTCATTTTAGCAGAAAACCTTTCAAAGTATTCATACCTCT